TCAGAAATCTTGAGAATGGAAGAGACATTCACAGGTTTGGCTTCCAGCTCTTTGAGCCTTTAGGGAAAACAACATTCTGTAAGCAAGACTGACCCTTCGTAACAGAATGCATGAGCTGGAGCTAGATGAAGTTAATTGGAGCTGGAGGAGAGTTGGAATTAGCTAGAGCAGTTGTGTTAGTTTTGTTAGTTAATCCACGTATCTATATTGTATTGGTTTGTACAATTTCAGTTAGTCAGTTAGAAACTTTTCCTCTATTTATAGCACAATGGATTGTATAGTAAAATGATTTTTGATCAATAGAAAATTTAGAACATTTTCCCTCCATTTTTCTCACTCTCTCGTTTCTTTCAATATGGTATCAAAGCAATTTTTGCTTCATCTGTTATTTCGATTAAGTTAATTTCTTTTCTTAGTTCATTATGGCTTCCACAGTAGATTTGCAGCCTTCATCAATTAGTCATTCCACAATTGATGATGGATCTAGCCCATACTTTCTTCATCACTCTGATAGTCCAGGGTTGGTACTGGTTTCTCAGCCTCTAATAGGTGATAATTACACCTCATGGAGTAGATCAATGGTGATTTCTCTGTCAGTGAAAAACAAAATCGGATTTATTAATGGATCCATATCTAAACCTCAAGACAACGAGGATTTACTTCATCATTGGAATCGCAACAATAACATAGTGATTTCATGGATACTAAACTCAGTATCCAAAGAGATTTCTGCTAGTATCATATATTCTGAAACAACACAGGACATATTTCAACTGAGACACGAACCGATGAATCATTCTCAAGGTTAATCTTCTGTAAGTGCATACTTTACAATATTGAAAACTATATTGGACGAACTTAGCAATTACATGCCAGTATACATATGTGGAAAATGTGATTGTGAAGGATCTAAGAAATTCGTTGATCACTATCAAATGGAATATGTAATGTCATTTTTGATGGGTTTAAATGACTCTTTTGCTCAAGTTAGATGAGAAATACTGCTCATCGACCCATACCTCCTATTAATAGAGTGTTCTCCCTTGCCTGTCAAAGGGAACATCAAAGAAGTGTAAGCTTAAATGTTAATGTTGCTGGTAACAATGTTGACTCCATGGCATTTTATGCCAGAAATTAAAACAAGAGAGTCAATTCTGGACAGATGCATAACAAGATTCAGAGGAAAGAAAAGCCTATGTGTACATATTGTGGAATGAATGGACATTCCGTGGACAAATGTTACAAACTTCATAGCTATCCTCTTGGCTATAAGGCTAAGCAAAAGGCAACTTCTAGCCAGCTTCATACAGGAGATTAGTAGGCAGATTGCTTTATCTAACCATCACCAGGCCTGATTTGTCATATTCAGTGCACCTACTAAGTCAGTATATGCAAGATCCCAGATTGTCACACATGAACGCTGCACATAAGATACTTAGGTACATCAAGAAAGCACCAGGCTTGTGACTATTTTTCTCGTCAACTTCAGATTTACAGCTCAGAGCTTATACTGATTCAGACTGGGGAGGATGTCCAGATTCTAGGAGGTCGATAACAGGTTATTGTATCTTCATTGGGCCTTCACTAATATCTTGGAAGTCCAAGAAATAAAGCACCATCTCGAGGTTGTCTGCTGAGGCAGAATACAGAGCAATGGTAGCCACTTGTTGTGAGTTAACTTGGCTTAGATACATTCTCAATGATTTGCGAGTCCCACACCCACAAGCGGATGAGCTATTTTGTGATAATCAGGCGGCTTTGCACATTGCGGTCAATCTGATATCTCATGAGAGAACCAAACAGATTGAGTTGGATTGTCATTTAATTCGAGATAAAATACAAGAAGGAAGTATTGTTACAAGGCATGTAAGAACTGGTTCACAAATCGCAGACATTTTTACTAAGCCTCTATGCTTTGCCGTGTTCCACTCGCATTTGTCCAAGATGGGAGTAGAGTACATCTACTCACCACCTTGAGGGGGGCTGTTGGAGATCAAAACGTGAAGCTAGAGATGCTAGGAAGATATGGAAGTTGCTGGAATGAAGAGAGTGCTAGCACTAGACTGAAGGAAGTTAGGAATGATTCTTTTTGTTATGTAATAGAATTTGGTTATTGCCACATAAGCAAGTTGTTGTAATTTTGTATATTTATACCTTTGTAACTTTGTTCATTATGTAATCAATGAAAAATACATTCATAGCAGACGAATTTTCTCTGCTCATTCAATCAAATTTCAGTTACAAAAGTATTTTCAAATTACTGTTAAGCACCGGGCTGCAGTATTCAAAATTTAGTTTTTGTTAGTTTATTGAGAACACAATGATTATTAGCAATCTTCATGCAATTTTATATTTCTCAACTCGCTTATCATGACCAGCTTTCAAGGCCCATAACCTAGCTCGACCCTTGAAAGATGTTGTATTAGCTAGACTTGATGCAATTAATTATCACGACCTATTGTGGGGCACGGCCAGGTAATGCCAAACGTATGTGCCCCTATAGTTGAACTCGAACCCTCATCTGACATATATCAACTTCTACTAAGAGAGAACCTTAATATTTGTTTTCACCTAATTGTTGACACTATAGCTTGACATCGATCACTAATTAATTTTTCAAAATGTGAAGATCACTAGAAAATTTCTCATTTGAAATTTTGAACCATTTCAAAATTGTCATCCGTACCATTTTATTCTCTAATAAACTTATCTGCTATGTTTACGAATAAGCAGCAAAAGTAAATTTAAAATTTTTTTCGATCGCTATCTATGACTTGTTTCCCAGTTGAAGCTATCAAGAAATTTAATATTGTCGATTAAAATTTGATTGAAATACAACTTCCGATAATTGGCTCACTCATTTGTCCAGCCTCTAAAATATGGTTTCAATACTCTCTCTCTCTCTCTCTCATTATAAAAGGCACTTAACTCAACAAGAGTGTGAACGATAATTCGCTACAAGGTAGTTGGGATCAGGGTCTTGTTTGGATTTCATTACGAATTGCTGAAATTATAATGTGATAGAAACGAATGGTGGACAGGTGAGTAGTAATGGTGGATTCTATAAAATGTGTGATGAAAATTAAAATTTGACTTCGATCTTTAGAAAATTATAATGAAAGGCAAACAAGCTCAAAAGTAAGAATTTAATAATCAACTCCCACGAAAAACTTTGCCACTTTTGTTTGCTAATTGTTGAATTAGGAGAAATCAAGCCTTTTTTTTTTTTCATTTTAATAAATGAACAATCTTAACTTGTGCTAATAACTCCAGTTGAGGCCACATAAGTATTGACAATGAAAGAGGAAGATGGTCAAAATCAAGTCATTCTTCGCTTTGCCAATTAGCAATTTATTGAATTATGCCTATCTTTGACTTCTGTTATAAACTATCTCAAAAGAGGTAATGTTTCAGCGTT